AAAACTAACTGCCAGAAACATGGAGAAAAAGATATAAAACACAAGCCGGAGCTTTTTATTGTCATATTCAACAAGCATAAACTCACTCTGTTCAGTGGGATGACTGCGAACATCCCACTCCATTTCAGAGCCTCCCTGGTGGCCGGACAGAGGCCCCTGCTACTGACACACTGCCCTGAGGACTGGACCCCGAAGGCTACCAGGTAGCACCCCTGCCACTCAGGCAGCTGCACTGCATAACCTACACGCCACCCACCCACACGCCACCTCGACGCATGCTCGGTCAGAGGGTGCGCCCCACGCCAAGCGCACCTGCGGCTGAGCAGCAGACCGGATGCCATGGGAATCGGTCTGAAGGGGACAGAAACACAGACGCAGGTGCACACACTGAGGCCAATTTTTCTTGGAAGGAAAAAAAAGGGCGGGGAAAGAGAATTTTCTTTCTTCTTTAGACTTTCCTTCACATGACTTCCCCAATTTTTTTCTCTTTTCTTCCTCTCCCAACCTGGAAACTTCCTCAATTTTAAATGCCTATTTCTCTGTCGGAAAACTTTTTCTTAGTAGAAGTATGTAAGGGAAGGAAGACAGAAATGAATGGGCCCCACTCTGAGACACTGGAACCATGTGGGACAGGCTGAGCGACCACTGTCTGAGCCCAGGTGAGGGCCCTAGAGGGCTGCCCACGGTCAGCCCACACCACACACCAGAGAGAGCCCTGGCAGTGATCCCAAGAGAGTTCCAGAATGTCCACTTCTCAGACCATCACTACGGGAAATAAAAAGCAATCTTTGGTGTTTAAAAATACTAAAAAGTTAGACATACTGTCCCCCTTCTCATTAAGAACAGACTACATGACCTTAGAATTGTCTTTCTCACTTGAAAACCTAATTTCTTAAACCACTCAGATTATAAAAGCAGTCACAGTCCCTGAAAGTAGATTTTGTTGTCTCCACAGGGAGTAAGGGGTCATCTCTTTCTCAATCTCCAAAACAACAATGTGGTTCAGATGGGCCACACCCCTCCTTCCAGAGTGACCAGCCGGCTCCCGAGCTGACCTGGAGCATCCTGCTGCGACAGACGCCCTAGAAGGTCCAGAGGCCATGGTTAGTGCACAGCCTAAACTGCACAGCCCAGCACCCCCACCAAGGGTGAGCATCCAGAAGCTTCACTGCAATCTACACACAACTCAGACGCCCGGCTCAGGCCTTCTGCATGACCCCAGGGTGGCGCCCCGGGCCTAAGCATGGGGCTGCCCAGTCAGCTGCATCTAGGGCCATAGCTGACTGCAAACTGGCTTCCGGCAGCAGCCAATGAGCCCTGGCCTCTGACCACACCCAGCACGCTGAGGGCCTGCCCCTCACAACAGGTGGGACAGACAAGGTGGGGACCAGGAGAAGGGACCAACACCATGCAGCATGCAAGCCAAGGGTGGTGGTGGGAGCTCTTTCTCGGTGGCAAACACCGGGGTCTTCCAGAGACTCTGGGAAACCATGAGTGTAAAAACTGGGGTAAGAACACCTGTCCAGGCCGGGCGTGGTGGCTCACGCCTGTAATCCTAGCACTTTGGGAGGCCGAGGCGGGCGGATTGCTCAAGGTCAGGAGTTCGAAACCAGCCTGAGCGAGACCCCGTCTCTACCAAAAATAGAAATAAATTAATTGACCAACTAAAAATATATATACAAAAAATTAGCCGGGCATGGTGGCGCATGCTTGTAGTCCCAGCTATTCGGGAGGCTGAGGCAGTAGGATCGCTGAGCCCCGGAGATTGAGGTTGCTGTGAGCCAGGCTAATGCCACGGCACTCACTCTAGCCTGGGCAACAAAGTGAGACTCTGTCTCAAAAAAAAAAAAAAAAAAAAAAAAAAGAACACCTGTCCAGGTACGCTTCTTTCATCTCTACTCAAAGCTGAAATAACAGTTTATCCCTAAATTAGGAAAAGGGAAAAAATGAACATAGGCCAGACTGTACCTTTAGTAAGTGGTTTAGCTACACCACCTGCTTTGAAATATTCAGGTTCAGAGCAAAAGTCTTCTCAATCGCCCCTGGCCAAGGCAGGCCCCTCCCATGCCCGTGTTTCCCACTCGCAAAGGCTCCCTCTGCAAATGTGCTGCCCACCCAACACCAGGAACCACAGGTGGGGCAAGGGAGCCCAGCCAGGCCCTGCCTTCACCTGGAGCAGGTGCTCACCTCGCCCAGTGCCGGCCACAGAAAAGGAAATACTTTATATAGACTTTTGGCTTTTCAATTTGTTAGATCACATTTTTTGTTTCATTTGCTTCAATTTCAGTAAAGCTGAAATTTTTAGGCCTCTTAGAAGCTTTTGATATAAATCCTTACACTTTTTGATTCATAAGTAAAAATCCAAGTGAAACCATCTTTTACAAAGTCTCAGGTTGGGCAGGGTGCGGTGGCTCACGCCTATAATCCCATCACTCTGGGAGGCCAAGGTGGGAGGATGGCTTGAGACCAGGAGTTGGAGGTTGCAGGAAGCTATGATGATGTCACTGCACTCTTCTACCCAGAGTGACAGACCGAGACCTCTGACTCAAAAAAAAACCAATGTTTGGTCAGGTTGATTTGCAAAGACAGACACCTTAGTTTTGACAGAGGCTTTCTGTTTTCTGTGAATGAGAAACATTCTGAGCACTTTTTGTTCATTTTCTCTGAATTTACTGATTCTGTAGCGAGTACATGAAAAGAAACTAGATTTCATTTTGAGGAAAAAAGCAAAATAAAATAACATTTACAGATATCATTTTAAACTTCTAATTCTTAATACAAAGTCAGTGCTCACTCCTCTTGGGATAAAACCCATCTTCCAAGTGACAAACCTCACCATGCTCACAGCTGGCTAGTGAGCTTGCTGTAAAATTGTGACACAATAACACCCAACTCTATCATCTGATCACGTGTCTCGAAGTATGAATTATTCCAAGTCACAAATGTACAGACCCCAATTCAATGATGGTTCAATTTAACTTTTTGACTTTACAATGGTACAAAAGCCATAAAAACTCAGTAGAAACTGTACTTTCAGTACCCATACAACCATTCTGTTTTTCACTTTCAGTAGTCAATAAATTATGTGAGATTTTCAACACTTTACTATAAAATAAGCTTTGTGTTAGATGGTTTGCCCAACTGTGGGCTAATGTAAGTGTTCTGAGCACATCTAAGGTAGGGTAGGCTAAGCAATGATGTTAAGTAGGGTAGGTGCATTAAACTCATTTTCAACTTAGGATATTTTCAACTTACAATGGGATGGGTTTATCGGGCTCTAACCCCACCAAAGTCAAGGAGCATCTATACAGGGAAACCATACAAAAGGTTAATATTCAATATGTTCGAGAGGCCGGGCGTGGTGGCTCACGCTTGTAATCCTAGCACTCTGGGAGGCCGAGGTGGGCGGATTGCTCAAGGTCAGGAGTTCAAAACCAGCCTGAGCCAGACCCTGTCTCTACTATAAAAATAGAAAGAAATTAATTGGCCAACTAATATATCTAGAAAAAATTAGCCGGGCATGGTGGCGCATGCCTGTAGTCCCAGCTACTCGGGAGGCTGAGGCAGGAGGATTGCTTGAGCCCAGGAGTTTGAGGTTGCTGTGAGCTAGGCTGACGCCACGGCACTCACTCTAGCCTGGGCAACAAAGCGAGACTCTGTCTCAAAAAAAAAAAAAAAAAAGTTCGAGACAATTTGTATTTTTTTTTTGAGACTCTGCTGCCCCAGCTGGAGTGCAGTGGTGTCATCACAGCTCACTGCAACCTACAACTCCTGGCCTCAAGTGATCCTCCCACCTCAGCCTCCCAGAATGCTGGGATCATGAGTGTGCGCCACCATGCTTGGCAATTTTTACTCTTTAATCACAAAAATATCCTGAAAAGTCTGTCATCTACTCAATTCGTAAAATAAGTACAATCTTATTAATAAGCAAATCACTTAAAATTACCAAATGATCGCTGTAACAACGGATACCACACAAACTGGTCTCAGGGGCAGACGCCCTTTCCATCTTTAGTCCATCTCGAGGCTTTACTTATTGGACAAAACTATTTTAAAGTTCCACATCCCACATGTAAAGTGTGTCACTTTCTCAAGCATTAAGGAAGTGTTCCAGTGGATAGAAGAGGAGCTGGTTAACCTGGAAAGGGAGTGTTTACTTGGCACTCGCAGGCTCTGGTGTGAAAATTCATCGTCATTTACCTCATAGTCTTAAAAAGGCGAGGAGTATTTTTAAAGGTAATAAAACAGAAAGAGCAAGTCAGTGGTTAAAAGGAACAGGCCAACGAGGACAAAAGTTAAGAGATGGGAACAGACCCAAGGTAGCTTAGTAATGGTGGCCCCTGGTCACACACCAGAGTGAGGCGGGCCTGCCCACGGCAAGCACCCCGACTCGCGCCACTCCTGACGCATGCTCTAGGTCCGAGGGCCTTACACAGACAGACAACGCCTGCACGACTAAGGAGATCATCAGAGACATGAGAAGGGTGCAACCAAGCAGGAAGGAGGCCACCACCTCCCTCGCCGAGGCTCCCAGTCGTACTGATCTCCACCTCAGCTCCTGTCTCACTGAGCTACAGGACTTCAGGACTTTCCAAATTACTTTTTAAAAATCCTACAAGTTTCCAAAATTTGTTTGAGGGGAAGGCAAGGAATAGCATTTTATCGTGGTAAAGATGGCAACAGAACTGGGACGCTGGACCCTGGAGGCGAGCGCCAGCGTGGCTGCAGTGGCCATGACTGTGTCTGGCCTACCCTGGGGGCCGATGTGGGCATCAAGGAAACCATAAACTGTCACAATCTGAGACTAAAACCTCTCACAACGCCTGTGCCCCCGAGAGGTGTGGTAAACGCACAGGACCACATCTTCAGGGAACATCTTCGGGGAGCTTCATGAACAGGAAACGCGGTGAGGACCTAGCGTGGCTCCCTGTAGGCCTGCCCAGTCTTCCCTGAGTCCCCCGCTCTGGGCCGGTCCTCCACCCCCGCCTGCACGCGCTTACCTCTGCGGAGGAATGTATGGAGCACACACGGCCGGCAGGACGGCGCACGGCTCGGCCAGCGCCTTCTTAGCCTTTTTTGCTTTCTTCCTGACCTTGGATGCGGACCTGACTGCTTTGACTGAGCTGTCTTTCCGACAAACACCGTTCTTCATCTCAACATCCCCGTAAATGTTCAGCGGCCTCCGGGTGCAGCCCGGAGGCGTGTGTACGTCACAGTAGGCGGTCTTCCTGACAGAGAAGGTGGTGCTGCCACCACTCAGCTCCTTCACGGGCTCCATCTTCATGTAGAGGCCGGCCCGCTGGGCGCACGTCACGTGGAAGGCCGTGTAGCAGTTTGCCTTGTGGCACTGGATGCAGGCGCCCACGCCCTTCTGCTTACAGAGGTAGCACGTCAGTTTCCACCGGGCTGGGGGGATGTTCCTCACGCCATCGATGGGCTCGATGAACACTGTGTTGGCAAAGCCAACCTCCGGGATCCACAGGGCACATACCACGTGGCCCCAGCGGTCATCGTCTGTCTTTTTGAAGGCACCGCCCTTGTTGGGGCACAGCACGCAGTCGGCCGGCCGGGCCCGGGACTGCAGGCAATGGCGGCAGAGCCACTGGCCCTCGGGGATGTAGGGCACCCCGTAGCACTCCTGGTGCACGGCCAGGTTGCACATGTCGCAGAAGAGGATGACGTTGCTGTTCTGACACTCCCCGTCCATGCAGATGCAGCACACGGCGTCCTCGTCGATCAGAGACTGCTGCTCACCCTGCTTCTGGTTCTCACAGTACGACTCCTTCTCAAAACGGTCCATCAGGAACTCAAACATGCTCTGCGACACCGCAGAGACACAGTCGCCTTTGCGCTTCTCGTTGACGATCTCGAGCCAGGCGTAGTCCTCCTCGTCCATGTCATACTCCACCTCGTTGTCCAGCTCCTCGGCCGACTTCTCGATGAATTTGTAATACACGGGAGGCCTCCTGGGGGCGGAAGGAGGGCTGTACTCCACGATGCGCACCTTGGGCTCGGGGAGGGCGCTGGCCGAGGCCGGTGTGCCGTGGGCACTGGGGAGGGCTTCATTTTTCTTTTTGACTCGGTTGTTTTTGTGACGCTTAGTTCTTAAGCAAACAGGCGGCCTCTCACTATTTTCCTTATTGCTGTTGCATTCACTCATTTCTTGAGCAGTGAGGTCATCTTCTAATATGATCTCCAGGGGATCAAAAATACTGATCCTATGCAAGCGCCCTTCAATCTCTATCTCAACCATCCTCTGAGCTTGAGCGTACGTTAATGTTTCTCGAGTGGGGGAATGTTTAACACTGCACGGGGAAGAGGGGTGCCTTGCTGCAGAGCCTCGATGACATCGTCCTTTCCTCCTCATTTGGTAATGATTACCTAAAATAAAGTCAAAGATAGAGTTAATTCCGGTCAGGGTGACAAAGACTTGATAAAACCACAAAACTACACTTGGGCAGAGGCAACGAATCATCTCATGGCTCAATCAAACCGAAACTCACAGCCAACAAACATATTTCTGAGGTTTTGAGAGCCACTCATCCCAGGACTCACGATCATACCCAGCAACACTCTGGCAGTGCACCATTGTCAGGCCTCAGAGTGACCCCAGGACCAGAGGAGCAAGCAGCCATCGGGCCTCTGCTGACCGGAGTCCCTGCAGGGCACCAGGACCCCACCACTCACCAGTCATCTTTCGATTTCACGCCAACAGGCTACGCAGCCAACAGCAACACCCCTCCAGAGTAGGGGTCCTAGCCTAAACCCACTATCGCAAGGCTGCTTTCCTGGCATGCAGAAAGTCTGACCTCCAGGAAGCTCACACACAGGGCTGTGCCCGTAAGGCAGGCACACTCAGCGGCTACTTGGTTCCATCAAACACTCCCCCTAAACCCACTCTTTACCCTCCCCACTGCGACCCAGGGGAGTGCCCCTGCGAGCCCCAGCGCACAGTCTCTGCAGCATTCCTGCCAGGCCAACAAGCAAGGAGGGAGAAACAGACCACATCCTGCACATCCTCTCAGTGAACACATCCTCCACACGCACACCAAGGCCCGGGCCACCAGCCGCACCAGGACCAAGCCCTGTACTGGTCTCGAGCGGTATCTCTGCCCCAACAGGACCCAACCCAGTTTCTTAGCAGTGGCCACCAAGGAATCCTCACAGGCCAGGCCTGCTTGCCTCTTCCCCTCAAGGGCATTCCTCAGCCCTGGCTTGACCACTGTGCTGACCATGTCCTCCTCAAAACAAACCCAGAGACGTGCAACACACCAAAGGGCACCTCTGCTCTCTTCCTGGCACTCCTGGAGGTAAGATGTTCCGCTCTTGCTCCACAGTGAGGGCCCAGCCCCCAGGAGCCCCACACTGCCCGCAGAGCTCCCAGCTATGAAGGTGGCCAGCACTGGCTCAGATGCCTGAAAACCTAGCCACGGAGATCTATGAGAATGTGCCCTTTTCAGAATTGGGCAAAACCAGTGAGCTAACAGCCTATACCACCTCCTTGTGCCGGAGACCTCCACTGTCTGAACACCACTGACTCCGTCTATTTTCAGTTTTCCCTGGAGTGGCTTGCTGTCTAGGAACTTCACGTGAAGACCTGCCAACTCGGGACCACCACCCACCAAGACAGCACCTTAGGCAGCAACAATGAGGACACCTCAGCTCCTCCCTCCAAACAACCACTTTTTACCGACAAGGAGTAAAATGATTTTTTAAGAGTGACTCACTGAAGCCCCCAGCCCAGTGTGGCATATGGCCTTGCCATGTCAGGCCTGGCCTCGGCCCTGGGGCGAGTGGGACACCCACAGGAGCCTGGATTCACAGCCGCACACCGACCCACTGGTCTTCAGGAAAAGCCCTCCAAGAGCAGGCTTCACTCGGAAAGTTCTAAAAGGAAATCCTGGCAGATCCCAGGTGCACTTTTTAAGACAGACCCTTCAGATTGTTTTCCTTTTTCTGAGTCACATACAAAATTCATAGTTTATGTTGAAATTAGCAACTCCCTATAAAGGGGAACATGGGAGAAAATGTGGCCAGCCAAACCCCAACTCACCTGCATCTCAGGGCCCTGCAGGAGCCCCCTCAACCCTGGATTCCAGGGGAGCCATCAGCAAAGCCACCACCCAGCTGGCCCTGGGCCTCTAGCAACAGCCCTACAATCCCCCCTGAGGTGAGGGGGTGCAGCCCCCAGGGTGTCAGCACTGCAGCCTGCACAGAGGGGACCCTGAAACACCCAGGGACAGTTTTGCATGTTATTACTGAGGTGGGGCAGAAGCAACAGCTGGTTACTCATCAGATTAAAGACAAACATATAATTTTCCCCTCTACACCAAAGTACCAAGAGCTCTAACTATAACCAGCCCTTCAAAGCCCACTCTCCCAGGGAGCACTGAAGCTCTCTATCTAACCATTTTCTACAAGGGGAAGAATCTAACCTGATACTTAATGGTCACGGCAACTCTGTAATTTGAAAATGCAATTGTGACGGGGAAAGAGGGCAATTTAGCAGCACTGTCCGGCACAGGGACCAACCACCTCTTCTGCCGCATCATTTCCCTACACCGACCAGCCCTCTGTACAGGGACAAGCATCTCCACAGGGAGGGAGCAGCAAGGGCAAAAGGCACGCAAATAACGTTGTTAAATACACCCTAAAAGGCTTTGTGGGCCACAATAATGACCAGCTACGTTTTCAAATCAGTTCATTTCCTGCCTGGCTTTGGACGAGCCAATCAAACTCTCACCGCTGTTAAGTGCATGGGAAAATGACACACCTCTCCCGTAGGCAGCCAGGACAGTGCTGGGCAGAGCAGGTGCCAGCCAGGTAACTAAGTAATGCCCTAATGCCAAACCTGTAGGATACCTGACGACGGGCAGAGGGGAGCTTCCTGGGGTGATGGGAACGTTCTCGAATGGAGGGAGGGTTGTTTCTGGGTGTATATAAATTTGTCGAAACTCCACGCACACCAACAGGAGTTGTACTTTCTGTAAATCACCCCTCAGGGAAGCTACTTCTGATGAAAGGGCCCAGGGAAGCCGGACTCACCCACTCCCGGGCCCCGCCGCGCTGCCGGCGACCCTCCCCAGCACGTCCCCCGCTCATGGGGACTTTCTCCTCTCCACACAAATCGCGCCAGTTACATAAGGCGGCGGCTCAAGCTCGGCACAGGCTCCCCCGGCCCCGAGCGCGGGCTCCGGGCGGGACCCGGCCCGGGCGCCGCCTGAGACCTGCGGCCGCGGTCCGGCTCCGCCGCGGCCCAGGCGGGCGGCTCCAGGCCCGAGTCCCGCCCAGCGAGCGTCCGCCGAAGCCCGCCGCGCCGCCGGCCCGCCCCCCGCCGCCTCCGTCTTCCTCTGGGCCGCGCGAACCTCCCCGGCTCGCCCGGCCCGCCGGCACTTCCACCAGTCTCCCGGTCTTGCCGGTTATCCAGCTCCCGCCCGGCCTCCCGCCTCCCGCCCGACCTGCGACAATGCGGACCGCCGCGCCGCTGCCGCTAACATGCGTCGGCACAATCACAACCCCCGCAGAGCGCGCGGGGCACGAGCGGCGGCGCGGCGCGCCACGAGGCGCGGGGGCTGCCCGCCGGCCGTCCCCCCATCCCTTCGGGCGCCCGGGCGCGGGAGCCCGGCCGGGCGGGCGCGGGGCCGGCGCGGCGAGGCGGCGCTAATGGCGCGCCGCGCGTCCTCCGCCAACGGCCGCGCGGCGGGCCCGCCGCGCGCTCCTGGGCGCGGCGCTCCTGTCGGCCGGCGGGGGCTCCGGCCATGCGCGCCGCGGTCTCGGGCGGCGGCTCGCGCGGCGCGCTCAGGGCCCGCTGGACGGCCCGGTCGGGGCGGCCGGGGGCGCGGCGCGGGGCTCGGGCCGGCGGCAGCAGCGGTCGCGGCGCGGGGCGCGGGCTGGCTAGTGAGCCGGCCGGGTCGCTCTCTCAGCCCTCCCAACAAGCGTCCGCCCGGCGCGCTGCGTGCGAGACGCGCCCCGCCCGCCGCCGCCATGACGCGCGGGCTCCGCAGCCTCGGCCGCGCGCGGGGGAGGGGGCTCTGCGGGGCCGGAGGGAGGGGGGCAGGAGTCGGGGTCTTCGGCGGGGAGGAGGAACCGGACTGAGAGGCTTGAGCGGGGACGGGAGACGAGAGTGGGGGGCCCGAGGCGGGGAATGGGAGGAAGGGGCCTGAGGGGGGGAACGGGAGGAAGGGCTGAGGGGAAGGGAGGAAGGGCTAAGGGGGAAACGGAGAGGCCTGAAGGGCGGAATGGGACGGACGTGCGGGTCTGAGGGGGAAAGGGAGGCAGGGGCCGAGCCTTCGCGGAGGTGGGGACAGATTGGGGACCTGAGGTGGGAATCAGGGAAGGAGGTGCCGAGTAGGAAGTATAAGAGGCTCCGAGAAGGCCTGGGGAAGGAGGGGGCCTTTGGGGAGAAGGGGACATGGAGGGGGACGGTGTAGGGGCCGAAGGAGGAAAAGGATGGTGTAACTGAGGACACGGAGGGAATGGGCAAGTGGGGGCGAGGGAGGGGGGATGAGGGGAGCCTGACGCCGAGGTCTCTCAGGGGGACGACGGGGTCTGAGGAGGAGGGGAATGATGGGGGCCTGAGGAGGAGCGGAAGACTGGATCGGAGGAGCTGAGGAGGGCAGGTAGAGGGAACCGTTGGGAGGGCTCGAGGACGGGGACATTGGAAGCCTGAGGGAGGAGGGGGATGGGAGTGGGGGGCCTGAGGGAGGAAGGAAGATGGGAGTGGGGGGCCTGAGGGAGGAAGGGAGATGGGAGTGGGGGGCCTGAGGGAGGAGGAACTGGGCAGAAGTGGGGGGTCCTGAGTGGCCAACAGGGGAACCCTGAGGGGGTCAGGGCGCCTAGGGGCACTGGTGGGAGTGGAGGAGTGGGGGACCATGAGGGAGAGTGACAGTACTGAGAGTGGGAGACCTAAGAGGTCAGAGGGACCTGGAGTAGGGGGCCCTGGGGGGACACTGGAAGGGCTGGGGGTACAGGGCAGGGTACAGTGGAGAGTGCACTGGATGGGAACAGGAGGGCAGGGTGTCGTGAGGCATGGGGGCGGCCCAGTCCGAGGGTTACCCCCAGCTCAGAACCTCCTCTTTTAAGTTACACACCCAAGATGGGGGTAATTAGGCCCTGAACACCCTACCTGGGCTCAAGGTAAAACAGATACCGTTTAAGGTTCTAGAAAAGGCCCCTATGTGTAGGAGTTCAGAGACCTGAGTCTTACTCAGGGGACCGCTTCCACTTTGGCCTTTTGTTTAAACTCAAAAATCCAGTAGTGTCATGACAATTTTCACTCCAAGTCCCAAGATGTTTTAAGATGAGGACAAGCCTAGATGTTTCCTTGGTTTCCTTCGAGGACTTGTGATTAGCACGGTGGTGATGAAGGAGCCCCTAGCGGTGTGGGCAGGCCCCTCAGAAAGAGATGCTGTCCAGCCCAGGACAGAGTCGGGCCCTTCTGAGCTGGTGAGACCTTCCTCCACGCGGGCCGGCAGGACAGTCCCACTGCTCGACACGCTCCTCCAAACGCCTTACTGGGAGCGGGGCGGCCGTGTTCACGCGTGTCCCAGATGGGGGCCAGAGCCCCAGAGGCCTTTTTCCTGGCCAATGCTCGCGCCCCACTGCACCCAGCGCATGTGTTGTGAAGTGAAGACTTGGATAGAGGGTGGGTTAGGGCCACAGCTAAGGTCCCGCCTTGGAGCTGGTACTCCCTCCAGACGTACCCTTCAGCCATGGTGGGACAGGCCCAGCCCCAGCACTGGAGCCCTGACCACACCTGCACCAGGCCCAGCAGGTGCAAATGTCACCTCCACTCTACAGATGTCCATTTCTCCAAGTCCAAGGGTGCTAGGGCAGCCGGCAGTGGAAGGCAAGCAAGCTGAACCGCACCCTTCTCTTCTCCACCGTGGGGAAACCAGACGCAAGCCAACAAGCTCGAGGATCTCCCGCAGCACAGCGGAAGTAAGGCAGTCTCACCAAAGAGACGACGAAAGGACGCAAAACTCTTCCCCACGGAGCAGGAGGGAGGCAGGACGATTCCCTCTCAAACAGTGGAAGTGATGCTCAGGAATGAAGAAGAAAGTCTACGTACAGACACCTCAGAGTGACATCTGGAAATCCAAGCATGAAGGGACTAGTTTAAAAGCCTTCAGATTCAGTTGGTAACTCAGAGTGGAAAAAAGAATAAATGAATAAAAGGATAAAAAACAAAAAAAAATTTTTTTTAAATAAAATAAAAGCCTTCAGAGAGGAAAGGTCTTCATTAGAGTTATGCAGACTACGCGTGCAAAGGCGAGATTGCCAAAATTCTGAGAGAACTGACCCAGAATTCATACACAGTGAAACTAGCATTCAAGCAAGACAGCAAAATAAAGGTATCTTTATGGCCTATAAATGTCCAAGTTTACCACACACAAAGTTTCTTAAAAAATTAATAAAACATATACTTTACGGCCAGTCAAGGTAGCTCACGCCAGTAATCCTAGCACTCTGGGAGGCCAAGGCGGGAGGATCACTTGAGCTCAGGAGGTCGAGACCAGCCTGAGCAAGAGTGAGACCCATCTCTACTAAAAAAGTAGAAATTAGCTGGACAACTAAAATACACACACACACACATATGTATATATATATATATATATATATATATATTTAAAAATTAGCTGGGCATGGTGGCGCGTGCCTGTAGTCCCAGCTACTCGGGAGGCTGAAGCAGGAGGATGGCTTGAGCCCAGGAGTTTGAGGTTGCTGTGAGCTAGGCTGACGCCACGGCACTCTAGCCTGGACAACAGAGTGAGACTCTGTCTCAAAAAAAGAAAAATGGAAATCAGACAACAAACCTGAGAGAAATTCCAGGCAGACAACAGGACCTGGGCAAGGCAAGGGGCAGCAGGAAGGGCAAGTGCACTGAAGTTCTTGTGTTGTTTGGTGAGAGGATTTTAGAACCAATAGAAAAAAAGGCTTAAAGTGTTAAAATATCACAAAGTTTCCACTAGAAAGATGGAAGTAGGATTTACAACCTCCAAAACAGCTGAGGAAAAGGTGAAATGAAGAAAAAATTGACAGCACCAACTAAACACAGGAATGAGGAAAAGATAAAAGAATGATAAATATGCAACATACGAAGAGTTGGCAGGACTAGGCTCAAACATTTGAGTCATCAGAGAAATGTAACTGAATTAGTTCATCTGTTAAAAGACGGAGCCTCTCTGATTAGAATATAAATGTTGTTAAATACCATTAAAAGAAACACACCTGAAAAGTAACACAGAGATTAAAAATAAAAGGATAGAAAGCATCATATTTTTGTTCCTCAAGACACCATAAAAGAATGAAGAACGAAAACCAGAAGATAATTTGCAATGTATATACCTTGCAAATGATTAATATTCAGAATTTATTTATTTATTTTATTTTATTTTTTTTTTTCTTTTGAGACAGAGTCTTGCTTTGTTGCCCAGGCTAGAGTGAATGCCGTGGCATCAGCCTAGCTCACAGCAACCTCAAACTCCTGTGCTCAAGCAATCCTGCTGCCTCAACCTCCTGAGCAGCTGGGACTACAGGCATGCGCCATGATGCCCGCCTGATTTTTTCTATATATATTGGTTGGCCAATTAATTTCTTTCTATTTATAGTAGAGACAGGGTCTCGCTGTTGCTCAGGCTGGTTTCGAACTCCTGACCTCGAGCAATCCGCCCGCCTCGGCCTCCCAGAGTGCTAGGATTACAGGTGTGAGCCACCGCGCCCAGCCAATATTCAGAATTTAGAAAGAACCCTTTCGAGGCACTAGAAAGAGGCAAACAAAAAGCCAATAAAATTATGGGCAAAACCTACATTGAGCGAAGAAGCCAGTTTTGCAGCAGGCTCCTTGCGAGAAGAACATGGAAGGGACCGATAACCTCACCAGTAATTTTGGAAATGCAAACTAAAGCCATACCAGATAGGCACAGATGTGACAACACTCATCGACGGCAAGATGCTGGAGCAACTGGAATGCGCATTCCCTGCTGGCCAGAGTGTCAATCGGCACAAAAATCATCTTGGAAAATGATATGGCGCTATGGCCCTACCCAGTGAACATACCCATAATAAGCCACTCCCAAAACTCTGTAGCTCCACAAACAACCACCGTCATTCCTTTGGCTCACGGATCTGCTACTGGGGCAGAACTCAGCACACGCAGTGGGACTCAGCACACACAGTGGGACTCAGCACACACGTCGGGACTGCTCCATGGAGCAGCTACCGGAGCACCTCCACTGGGGCTGGTGGAGGATCCACTTCCAAGACGGTGCACTCACATGGCTGGTAGCTCGGCCCAGGCTGTGGGCGGAGGGCTGAGGGCCTTGGGGGCTTCCTTGAGGGACGGTGGCCATGTCCCAAGAGCAAGAGTCCCGAGAGAACCAGGTGGGACCTGCATCACTTTTCATGTCCTAGCCGCAGAAGTCACATGGCACCACTTCTGCCGTAGGGACGGCCTCTCCAGATTCTAGGGATGGGGGAACACTGACCCCACCCTGTGCTGGGAGGAGTGTCAGAATCACATCTTAAGAGGAGCATGTGTGTGAGGGAACTTGCTGTGGCCGCTTTGGGAAAACGCAAGCTGCTGTACCGGCTCAGCGTTAAGCCTCAGCGTTAAGTCAGTATAGGTTCCTAGACACAGTTCAAGCCCAGATCTGCTCCTGAGAAACTTGTGCCAGTTCCTCGGGAGACACATGCATGAATGTTCAGTGCTGGGGAAAAACCTCAGATGTCCAAGGACAGTAAAATGGATAAATAAAGTGAGGTATCTCCTTACAGTGGAATAGCACACAGCACGAAAATGAATGAGTCACTCCCCCCCTTTTCTTTTTTTGAGGCAGTGTCTCGCTCTGTCGCCCGGGCTAGAGTGTGGTGACATCATCGTAGCTCACTGCAACCTCAAACTCCTGGGCTTATGCAATCCTGCCTCAGCTTCCCAAACAGCAGCTGGGACCACAGGCTTAACACAACACCAGCTGTTTTGTTTTGTTTTTGTTTTTGTTTTTGTTAGACACAGGGTCTCACTATTGCCCAGGTTGGTCTCGAACTCCTGGGCTCAAGCCATCTTCCCGCCTCGCCCTCCCAGAGTGCTGGGGTTACAGGTGTGTGTGAGACACAGCACCCAGCCTCGATATCTTTTGTTGTTGTTGTTTTTGAGAAAGAGTCTCACTCTGTTCCCTGGGCTAGAGTGCCGTGGCGTCAGCCTAGCTCACAGCAACCTCAAACTCCTGGGCTCAAGTGATCCTTCTGCCTCAGCCTCCCGAGTAGCTGGGACTACAGGCATGCACCACCATGCCCGGCTAATTTTTTGCATATACATTAGTTGGCCAATTAATTTCTTTCTATTTATAGTAGAGACGGAGTCTCGCTCTTGCTCAGGCTGGTTTTGAACTCCTGACCTCGAGCAAACCGCCAGCCTCGGCCTCCCAGAGTGCTAGGATAACAGTCGTGAGCCACCGTGGCCAGCCCGTCCATAACTTTTTTGGTATCTTTTAACAAACCTTGAGTTCCTACTGGTACCTGTAACCTCCAAGTCCAACCTAACACGGAGTTCGTTTTGTCTTCCACTCTTTATAACTAACTCTCTTTCAATAGTGACAAACTTCCATGCATTGGCTTGGTGATTCAGTCCCCTGGTACGCAACCGTCTCTGGGCCACACCAGACAGAAACCTGGCCCCAGACACAACCACTGTCCCCCACTTATGCACTGGTTGAGAGCTCAGCTCTGGGGACGGCGCTGACCCCGGTACTCTTGTATCTCCTGGCTGGACGCACAGCCCAACAAAGGGCAAGGGGAGGGCCCAGCACGGTGGCTCACGCCTGTAATCTTAGCACTCTGAGAGACTGAGGTGGGAGGATCGCTCGAAGTCAGGTGTCCGAAACCAGCCTGAGCAAGAGCGAGACCCCATCTCTACTATAAATAGAAAGAAATTAATTGGCCAACTAATATATATAAATTAGCCAGGCATGGTGGCACATGCCTGTAGTCCCAGCTATTCAGGAGGCTGAGGCAGGAGGATTGCTTGAGCCCAGGAGTTTGAGGTTGCTGTGAGCTAGGCTGACGCCACGGCAGTCTAGCCTGGGCAACAATGTGAGACCCTATCTCAAAAAAAAAAAAAAAAGAAAGAAAAGGAGGGGCAAGGGGAGGGCGTTAGCGCTTTTTTAATGTTTTGTTTTTTTTTTCTGGCAGGAATAAAATAAAGCCCTTTCTCTTCTTAATCTGTCTCTCGCCTTCAATTTAGTAGATGATCCTTTCACAAACAAACAAAACATTCTTTAAATGGTATATTTCTCACTTCAGAATTCAGGAAAAGTAGTTTTTACTGACCTTTACTTTTAATGGAAATCTAGCAATTTGCCTAGTTTTAGTAAAAATCAATCCTCTTTGTCCCCAGGATATAATCACACAAATTGATTGTGTGACCAGGGTCTTATTCGGGCGTCACAGCTGAGGATAAACCTCGTGTGATTTGGCATGACACACCCACCATTAAGGACCACGGTCGTAGAACGTGTGTTGAACCGACGTCCACGCAGCCCTCAGACCGCGCTGGTTGGAACCTGTGCCCTGGCACGCAAGGTCTCAGCCTCCCAGGTAGTGGGAAGACACGTCCCGGCAAGCCAAGGACCGTGGCAGACACCGGGGGCCCCCAGAAGCTGGAGACTCCCACGTGCAGAAGTCCCTGCTGTGAGTACTCGAGCCTGGGGAAGGCAGACTGGGTTCACCGTCTTGGCCTAGGAGTGAAAGAGCAAATACGAACAATAAAAAAAACCCTGAGGTGTAAGGTAGGCTGAGCCCTGCGTCCCTTACGATGACATCTCCAGACAGAAGTGGATTTTCCGGCCTCGCTCGTTGCATCACACTAACAAGGAGGCTGTGCGTGTTAATCGCCACTTCTCACAGTGCCTCTGTAGGTGAATCGAATCAGGGCACAACGAGACTAGCTTTCTGTGGTCAAGAATACCTGTAGGAGGCCGGGCGCGGTGGTTCACGCCTGTAATCCTATCACTCTGGGAGGCCGAGGCGGGTGGATCGTTTGAGCTCAGGAGTTCAAGACCAGTCTGAGCAAGAGCGAGACCCAGTCTCTACTCAAAAGAGAAATAATTGGCCAACTAAAAATATATAGAAAAAATTAGCCGGGCATGGTGACTCATGCCTGTAGTCCCAGCTACTTGGGAGGCTGAGGCAGGAGGATCGCTTGAACCCAGGAGTTTGAGGTTGCTGTGAGCTAGGCTGACGCCATGGCACTCTAGCCGGGGCAACAAGAGTAAGACTCTGTTTCCAAAAAAAAAAAAAAAAAAAAGAATACCTGTAGGGATTATTCCTCATCACAGAGGGAACAAGTAAGAAAAGTTTCTCAAATTTAGGAATAGACAGAAGGACGGTGTGGTGTCCTTTTCATGTCATTCCGAGTGTCCTCCTGGGGGACTTTCTGATTCTCTGGGGTGTGCACCTGTTTAACTTGCCATTCACTGTTGACTATGACATTTTACAAGTCAGCAAGGGTAGATTTTTAACTGATGGAAAGCAGATAGCTAAGTAAAATGATTCTTGCTGACAGCAATGCCAGTGAATTTTGCCCAGTAGCAAGTGACAGAAACCATTTCTCCTTCTTAAAATGATTACAGATAGAAAAGGTTGTGGTTTCATGGCCCTAGAGAACATTAGCTAATTTTTTTAATACAAAAAGCTTACTCAAGCAAGCCTTTTTTCCAGTGACTATAGATACTATACTTCCCTCTTTCCAATTTTTTGCATTAAGATCTATGCTATGTTGCCCAGGGTGGCTTTGAACTCCTGTGCTCAAGAGATCCTCCTGCCTCAGCCTTCCAAGTAGCCGGGACTACAGGCACGTGCCACCATGCCTGGCTAATTTTTACATATATACATATATACATATTTTTTTTAGTTGGCCGATTAATTTCTATTTTTAGTGGAGACAGGGTCTCGCTCTTGCTCAGGCTGATTTTGAACTCCTGACATTGAGCAATCCGCCGGCCTCGGCCTCCCAGAGTGCTAGGATTACAGGCATGAGCCACTGTGCCCAGCCAGCAAATTCTTTTTCTCTATAAATTGCCCTGTCTTCAGTATTCTGTTGTAAGCAACAGAAAATGGACTAAGATACCATGGATCTAAGAGAAAGGTGGGGGGGAATTGAACTGAATAAAAATTAAAATACAATGTATGAAAAATTCTGGAACACAGCTAAAGCAGTGCCAAGAGGGAACGGTACATAAAGGCATATCTTATAAAAAAGGAAACATCTCAAATCAATAATCTAAGCTCCCACCTTAAGAACCCAGAAAAAGAAGAGCAAAATGAACCCAAAGCACACAGAAGGAAGGAAAATTATAGAAAAAAGCAGAAACCAATGGAATTGAAAACAAAGACAATAGAGAAAAAAAATCAATGAAACAAAGAGCTGGTTCCTCTAATAGATCAATAAAATGGACACACCCCGGGCCAGACTAACAAAGAGAAGACAAAATTATCAATATTGGGAATGAAATAGGAGACATCACTGCAGACTCTACAGACAGCAAAAGGGGAAAACAAGGGAAAAAACAAGGGAAATGATGGTTAATTGTTAGGTGTCACTTTGGCTGGGTCACAGTACCCAGATATCGGTCAAACATGATTCTGGATGTTTCTGGGAGGGTGTTTTTGGATGAGATTTGCATTTAAATTGGTGGCCTTCCAGTAAAGCCCAGTGCCGTCCACCAGGTGTAAGGGCCTCCTCCAATCAGCTAAAGTCCTGAAAAGAACAAGAGGCTAATGTGCCCCTGCAGGAAGGGAATCTGTAGATAGTCTTCAGACTTCCTCTGCAGGGCCTGCCCTTCCTGGCTCCATAGCAAATGGATGGTGACTGCACCTTCAACTTCTTCCTGAGTCTCCAGCCTCCCAGCTGCCCTAGGAGATTTTGGACGCACCAGGACTCCACAATTGCTTAAGCCAATTCCTTAAAACAAGTCTCTCTTTCTCACTCTGTCTCTGTCTCTCTGTAGATAAAGATATATAGACCAATACACATGCATACATACACACACATATACATATATGAGAACCAATGGGATGTGATACATACACGTGTGTGCATGTGTGTGCACACATACACATATACACACAACATAAACATATACTGCTTATGTTTCTCTGAAGAACCTTGAGTAATAAAAAGGAAAAAGAGAGAAGACAAATTACTAATGTGGGCATGAAACGAGACATAACTACAGACCTCACAGACAGCAAAAGGATAATAGAGGAATTCTATGAAAAACTCTACACATAAATTTGACAACTTAGATGAAATGAACCAATCCTTCAAAACCCATAAACTATGTCCACTCACTCAAAACAAAATAGGTAATTTAGAGAGCCATCTAACTATTAAGGAAACTGAACTGATGATTTTGAAACTCAGAAAGAAGGAAAAGAAAAGAAAGAAAAGAGAAGTTAAGTTCAGGCCCAGATGGTTTCCCCGGAGACTTTTTCCAAATGTTTAAATAAGAATTAACACCAATTCTACAAAATCCTTCCAGAAAATAGAAAAGAAGGGAACATTTTCTAACTCACTTTATGAAGCTAGTATTATCCTGATGCCAAAACCAAAGATAGTACCAAAAAAGAAAACTACAAGCCAACATCACTCACGAATATAGACACAAAAATCCTTAACAAAATATCAGTAAATAGAATTCAGCAATACATAGAAAGAATTACTATAACTAAGTGGGATTTATTCCAAGGCTGCAAGGCTGGTTCAATATTCAAAAGTAAATTAATATAATTCATCACATTAACAGTCTAAAGTAGAAAAATAACATGATCATATCAATTGATGCAGAAAAGACATCTGACAAAATTCAACACCCATTCATGATATAAAAAAAAAAAAACTCTCAGAAAAACAGGAATGGAGGGGCCGGGCGTGGTGGCTCAAGCCTGTAATCCCAGCACTCTGGGAGGCCGAGGCGGGTGGATTGCTCGAGGTCAGGAGTTCGAAACCAGCCTGAGCAAGAGCAAGACCCCGTCTTACTATAAAAAGAAAGAAATTAATGGCCAACTAATACATATAGAAAAAAATTAGCCGGGGCATGGTGTCGCATGCCTGTAGTCCCAGCTACATGGGAGGCTGAGGCAGGAGGATCGCGTTGAGCCCAGGAGTTTGAGGTTGCTGTGAGCTAGGCTGACGCCACGGCACTCACTCTAGCCTGGGCAACAAAGTGTGACTCTGTCTCAAAAAAAAAAAAAAAACAGGAAATGGAGGGAATTACTCAGCCTGATGAACAGCATCCACACACAGCCATAGTAACGCTTATACCAAATGGCGAAAGAATGAATCCTTCCCCTAACCGTCAGGAGCAGGCGTAAAGATTTCACCCTCACCACCGTCATTCACCAAAGTTCTAGAAGTAGTAGCCCAATGCGACATGCAAGGGAAAAAAGGGCATTTTTATCTAAAACAAAGAAATAAAACTGTCTCTATTTGTAAATGACGGATTACGTAGACAGAAGAGCCCACAGAATCTACCAATTAAAACTAGAACCAAATAAATGAGTTCAATGCAGTCCTCACGGACACAAGATAATTTTTTTTTTTTTTTTTAGAGACAGGTCTCACTGTGTCAGCCAGGCTGGAGTGCAGTGATGTCATCATAGCTCACCTGCATCCTCCAACTCCCTGGCGCACATTGAATCCCTCTAGCCGTAGCAAAGTACTGGATTGTAGGAACGAGGGCCTACTGCTCCAAAGCCAAGATAAACGTAATTTTAAAAACTCAACTGTAGGCCGGCGCAGGTGCGCTCAACGCCTGTTACATCGCTAGCACTCTGGAGCGCCGAGCGTGAGCGGATTGCGTTCGGAGTATCAGGAGTTTTGAAACAGCCTGCAGCAGAACGGAGACCCCGTCTCTACTATAAAACAATAGAAAGAAATTTAATTGCCAATGGAATTATATCTAAAGACAAAATAGCCGGGCATCGTGGCACACTGGGCCTGTAGTCCCAGCTAACTCGGGAGGCTGGCCAGGAGACGTTTGCTGAGCCCAGGAGTTTGAGGTTTACTGCTGAGCGAGGCTGACGCACGGCATACTCTCATCTAGCCTGGCAACAAAGCGAGGACTCTGTCTCAAAAAACAAACAAAAACAAATCTTCACATTGTATTCTCTACTACTTAGCAAATGACACAGGAGAAACATGGAATCACGAAAACTTCAACACAAGTTACAAAGCCTTCAAACATAAACCATAGTAGTTATGAATTTAATGAAACTATGTATAGAATTTGGTATGCCTGGTGAAAACTATAAATGCTGATGAAAAAAATCACAGCATACAAATAAATGCGGAGAAAGTTACATCATCTTCATGAATTGGAAGAGTAAAACGCCAATTTCTCTCCAAATTTGGTTTTTTTTCTTCTTTTTTTTTTTTTTTTTTTTTGTTTTTTTTTTTTTTTTGTGGTGGTTTTTTTTTTTTTTTTCCCCCTGTCGGGTCCCCAAGGGCAATTTTAACCCACATTCCTATCAAAGTATTTAATCATAGTGGTGGGCCTTGTAAACCCAATTCGTTTAACAAGTTGAACTGGTTCAACAATGTTTAAGCCGAATCCTATGCAAAATTCTCCGAGCAGAGAATTTTGTGAGGATTACAGACAAGAGATCGTATTCTAAAAGGGGTATATAGAGGCCGGCGCGGTCTCGAAGCGCCGTGCTGAATCTCAGCCACTGCTGGAGGGGCCAAGGCACGGGCAGATTGCTCGAGCGTCAGGAGTTCAAACCAGCCTGA